TTTTTTTTTTTTTTATTGATGTCCTTTAAAAAGTTGGTCTTGTTGATGCAATCCACATCCATCTACCAAATGTACAGTTTGTTGTGAGCAAAAGAATACTGCACATGCTGAAGGTTTCTTCATTCACAACTTCAAGCAACATGTCTTTTTAAAAATAACTTTCTGATAAATTCAACCTAGATCTATATCATAATTAGGTTTAATCATATCTAATAATCATTTCCATGCGCTAATAGTGAAAGGGTTGTGTTGTCCTCTGAACTAGGAAGCACTGGTTGAATGATTACCAAGCATGTAAAATTGTAACCTACAATTTAACTGAGGCAGCACTTCATCAACTTCGACTGTCACTTGGAACACTGTCAGTGTCACCAAATCTGTGGTTGATAAGCGATAATAAATTACATTATCCGCTAAACCACGCTGTTGTCCGCTCCATGAAAACTCCAAATAACTCAGATCATGTTTCAAAATACTCTCGTCTGATAAGTTACAACTGGGTCAGGCAATCAAACGTGTGTGCGATACAAACCTCTCGCTACTCAGTTGCCGGTAGAACTTTGGACTCGACATTGTTGATCTTGATCACGCGCGAATTCTTCAAACTTTTGTAACATAAAATAATTAGCCATGCATCATAGAACATTCATTTTATTTTTCAAATATATTTCAAAATAAATAAAATCTTTATTTCTAACTATATTTAATGGTTTTCATTTCTTAATTTACTGACTTACATGATATTCTCATTGAATTTATTCATCGGTGAACGTGTGTAAGTCCATTTGTCATATAAGGCTGGCTGGAAACAGGAGGTTTGTTATGTCCAGTAAAAAGATGGCCGTCACAGGCCATCTTAGGTTGGAAGACAGTGGTCGTCACACATCAGAGAGTTTCATGCCGAAAAACTCCCTTCAGTGGAAATTTTCTCTCCAGAAATATATATGCTCGTATATCGTATAAACATATATTGGATTCCAAAGTCATATTGGTAATAATGGTTTTCATTGGTTTTCATTTGGTGAAATAAAAATACCCAGTGATCATTAAAATTCAGAGTACAAATAGATAAACTCTCAATTTCAAATACTCTGCATGTACATGTATCACGAATTCCTTTAAAAGGGGGATAATTAAAACAAAATATTCCTGTGCGTGGCAGATAGAAAACGGTAGACATTTTTCTTATCAGTATGTTGGTTTATTTTTCTATTAATTCATTCATTTTTGAAGGGATGGGGATCCCCCGGGTTTGTGTTTTTAGGGGATTGGAAACGGGAAAGAAGAGGGTACACTGTAATTCCTCCCAAGGGGAACGACGCACGTGCCTCCAGGCTCCCCACTTTTGTACTTATGCGTTTAACTCTCTTGTAATAAAATATCTGCTTTCTGACCTGAAATGACACGTGGCTTGTGGCCGGATATGACATGCTTGCAAGTTCCAGTGATTAGCCTCTCTTTCAGCAAGCAGTCATCTTCCTGAACGAATTTAATAAACAAGGTCACGTCATCGGAAGAAGCTTGTGTGGCCGTCGCACGCTGAGAGAAAAGTCTTGAAGAATAAACAGAAATGGCAGGAGGAACAGAGCGTGCCAAGTCCTACATGGCCACTGGAGCTTATGTGGGCTGTATAAAGATTCTGCTGACCGTTTATAACTTTGTATTTTGGGTAAGTAGTGCGAAAATGTTGACTCGAAAGTTCTAAGTCTTCAGCGGGTTATCAAAGCGCGACGGAGAAATAGGCTGGCGAAATCGAGAAAGTAAATCATCAACTAGGTGATGAGGGAATAAGGGTCATGTGCGAATGATAACCGAGACAGACTAATATTTAGGGTCGTTTGTAGTTCTTGTATTGATTTTGTGGCCCACCTGACGTGTAATTTTAATTGGACATTGGGGACCAAATCACCAGTCAAATTCTGGTTCAGTGAACCATGCAGTGCTTATGCAGTTTACTTTTCCAGCCAGCCAATTTATTTATTTATTTATTTATTTATTTATTTATTTATTTTTGCTTACTGATTTTATGCTGTTCAACCTTAAAATGACCTCTGCTCTCATGATGTTTTAGCACGAAAAGCCATGAATAGGTACTCCTACATGTATATACATTGTACTTTTTTGTATGTAGGGTCCAAGATGGGTAAACTGAATAAATGTGTGTAGCAAGATAAAGCTACATGTGTATACTGGAAGTATGAAGATTCATATCAAAACACCATATAGGTCTTTAAGAAGTAAATAAGTTAGAATACTGGTGTATCTAACAGTATGAATATCTACTATAAAGATGTAATATGTAATATCCAAGTTTTTGGCCCCTGAAGAAGGCCTAATATAAAAGCAAGTCGCCATGGGACCTAAGTTACAGTACACAAAACATTTTTAAGATATTAGAGCTTATGAATTTTTCACTGAACATAAGATTATAAAAATTAGTATCACTGACAGATATGGCAATATACATGTATACATAAACAGATGCTCTGTGCAATCATGTGATGGACAGCTAGTAGACAAAGTCCACTCCACATGGTTGTAAGAGAGCTTCAGATTAGCTCTTTGAGGTCAGTTACGCTGACTGTTCTAAAGTGAATGGTCCACTGGCTCATAACAATATTCTAAACCTGTATGGGATGAATATTTTAGTAAGGCATCTAATTGTCTATTTACATGAGTAGATATTGATTATTTATAGTGGTACATTGTGAATCTTAGATAGTTGATATTATAAATAAATAAATAAATAAATAAATAGATAAACGAAAAATAAGTAAATAGCTTAAAGGTAATATTAGAAAGAAGAATCAAAATTACTACAGACAATTAATTGTAATAAGTATATTTGGTGAAGAAGGTGGTTGTTGCTTGCAAAAAAAAAAAAAAAAAAAAAAAAAAAAAATCGAGAGCCATTACTGGAGTGAGTTGGTGTTTCTTGTCACTAATCTTTCAAGTGAATGATATATTATTTGCACTAAGAAATTGTGTACTCAGCAGCAAGTGCACATGGGGGAATAGTGACTGATTATAGTAAATGTATAACAAAAAACACAGCTGTACCAGCTAGGTGACTAACCACACACACTGAACACACTGTATACAAGGTATTGATTGTCTACTCTGATGGCCTTTTGAGAGTGCATTCATGTCCGAAAATTTTCAGAGTCTAGTGGTTTGGTTTTATCAAGGGAGTATAGATATGTTTATTCCTTATTTACTAGTATATACAGTAATTTTACAGAGATCTAGAAATGTTCACCATGGCCAGTACTATACATATATATATATGTACATCACACTTACATGTACTAGTATATTGTAATAGTAGACACATTAACTTATTTATTTATTTATTTATTTATTTATTTATATTTTTTTTTGTCAGTTCATCGTTTTGTTCATAAGTATGTGATATATGAGAATGTTTGCCTGTTGAATAAAACATGAATTCTGAGGATAATTTGTCTCGTGGGTTCCACTGATAGATAGATATACATTAATAATGTACCAGCAGTGGTGACCACTGGGATATATGATACTGGTAGCTTGATTGTGTACAAATGAGGAAGTCGTATTCCCAGCAGATCTAACTTAGTCTTGTTGTTTAATGGAAGCAGGACATGTTCACAGCAGAACCAGCTTGGACTAGCCCAATGCTTCACCACCAGACCTGTTAATACTCCTGATTTCATCTGGAGTCTCACGATTTGGGGACATATCTCCTGACCTCCTGTTTCAGACTAAAGATCTCCTGATCTGCCAGGCTTTCTTCTATCTTCTCTTTTCAAGAGTTAAAGAAACCTTTCTTATTTATTGTATATCTAATGTAACCTTAATTAATAAAAATAAAAATAATTCACCAACTTAAAGAATTACTCAATGGCAGATTTGATGGTTCTTTGGTGTTTAAAAGAGGTGAAAATGTTTGATTATAACAAACTGCAATTATACTAAAAAAAAGCAAAGCGTTACTTCCTAAGGTATTAAAAACCAATCCAAACAGTTAATTTTTTTTTTTTTTTTTTTTTTTTTGGGGGGGGGGGGGGGAGGGAATACCGGTGCTCTGCAAATCCTACGTCTCATGTTGAGCACTTTCACTGTGAACATCCCACCAATATCCAGCTCTAATAGAGCTAGATTATCAATTATTCATTGCCAACTGTGTATACAAATTGCCTGAACCTGTACATAGTGTACAACTGGGCAAAATGTACTTGAGCCGACCTGGTGGTTACAATTATAAAGAAATGTACCAGTACACATGAGGTTTGCTAGAGTTATTGCCCATTATTGTGTGGGTGGTTGTACAGACGGACCCAACAGAGTTGTGTTATTTTAAGTATAAGTACTAAATAGAAATTTTAGGTAGAATACTCAGAATTGGCAAAATCAGTGGGTGTATGGGATCCTTGCTGGTGGGGAGAGCAGAGAGCTCCTAGCCTCTTTGAAGGGTTATTAGAACCAGACACCAGAAAGATTTGTAGGAAGTGGATATAGAGTCTATCTATGTACAGAAGCAGGCACATGTAAATTGGGGTGGGGGGGGGGTGTAAATCTTCACTGACGTGCATTACAAGTAAAAATGCAGAACAAGAAGATAAGCAGAAAACAATTGGAGGTTAATTTGTATGCGACTGAAGCATGAAGAGATGAGCCACATGGTCGGTTGAACAAGTATGTAAATGGACATTTTTTTTCCCGCTGTCTGAGAATGTTCAGGGCATTATAGATGATGGTGATTCTTGAATAGAAGTTTTAATGATATCCTCCTCCAAAAAAAAAAGGAAAGTTTTAGATTATTAGGAAATTAATATGATAATTTGAACAATAAAAATTATTTAATAAGCAACACATTTCAGGTCTGAAATAATCCGAGAAATAAAATATAAATAAATGTTTTTATTTATAAAGTAATTAAAAACTTAGAAAGATAGACTGTTAAAAGGAGTCGATTTGTTACCAACTAATTTGTCTTAACTGATACATCAGGTCAGATATTATCTGTAGTTCACTACTCTCTTTCAACAGAATATGAATAACATTCTGCTGGAAATCAATTTCCCTTTCAGCACAGTGCCACATCTATCTCTTCTCTCACTGCTGAGATGAAAACCTTGGAGACCTCTCTGCATAAGACAAAAAAATGCATAGATTTTTTCTGTCTGTCTCTACTTAATGCTTTCATAAGTTTGACATTAAGTGATACTTTATGGAAGTTCTGGTTACCCTCTGGAGTGAAAAACAAGATCGCTTCCCACTTAGAGAGCTACAGTGTTTTTATAACACTGCGTCATAGACTTATACACAGGTACCCTGAGTATTCACCTTGATTCTCGCTCCCATCTCAACTAGTCATTCTCTGGTTTTCAGGTAACTTCCCTCTTGGAGATCATGCTGTATTTAATTCATTTATCACAGACACAGATTTACGCTGAATTGCTCAAATTGAATCTCTCATTTACAATTCCCTGTCTTGGTGGAACAGTTTTCACATTGTCAATTATAATATCTTACTACATAGTGTTCTAGAGCCAGTTGACCCAATAGCAATACTGTATCTTTCTCAGTGCATTATTAGCACACCATATAACCACATGCATCAACATATAAGCAGGGTGTACTGTAGAGCAACTTCAGGATAATTGATATATTTCCTAGTTTGTCATGAACATCTCTGTGGGCAATTTTCAGTAATTGATATTTCTTGTCTATCACTCTTCACTTTGTCTGGCACACACATGTAGGTAGGGGGCCTATAATTCAGTTATAATATTTGCATTTGGTGATGTGTTGGAGTCTCATGGGCATTCTTCTGTTTTTGTTTTGTTTTTGAGGTAAAATTAGTGCTCTGGTCCTGCAGGAATTGATACTAACTGGAAAGAGTATAATTCACCAAGGGAAATTATCTAGGCGGGTGGGGGTGAATTGAAAATAAAGATAGTATGTACATATAGAGACACATTTGCATTAAAATCTCACAGGAGCTTTTCTGCTTTTCCTTTCTCTGCCAATTTATTCATCCTTAAAAGTGGAAAATAAGACACTGAATTGATCATAATTCACCAAGGGGATATCTGAGAGGGAAAATCGAAATTGAAAAGAAAGGGAAAGAAAAAAATTATGTGAAATAGACAGATTGACTGACTGACTTGAAAGCACTGCTGCACTAGGACCACAGTCATTCCTCCTGTCTGAATTCGCCTTGCTTATTTGATGAAAGGAATTATTCAAAAATTGCTTCCTCTCAGCGGAGCATTATTCATGGAAAATGAAACCTTCTGGGCCTGTTGATGGGAAGATGAAAAACAAAAGGAGAGAAAGGGAGGGGGGGGGGAGAAACAAGAAATGATAGAATGATCAACTTAGAGTAGTTGAATGGCTAACCAAAAACTAACCCATTTGACTTAATTATCGGTAATTTTTGGAATCAGGAAAATTGTATTTTTAATGGTGCCTTCATAAAGTACTAGTAGAACTACGGGATTGCGTTTCAATTTTGGTGATACCACTCAAAGTGAATGTTCTAATTTAAAGAACTTATGGCTTAAAACATACCATGACTGTAAAATTCACTATTTCCCCCTTTGAAAGGATTGAGGTATTACCATACTAGTAGATAACACTGGAAAATGGACAGTGATCCTGATCCAGTGATCAAAGCCTATGTACACACTTGTATGCAAGCACCTGTTTTCACATCAAGCACCTGTTTTTACATCATTTGGTGACTCAGATACCTCAAGTCAGTACCTATAATAAATGTGATTCACAAGAGTTTTTATCTAATCAGAAACACTCCTGACCTACATAAAGTATATATAAGGAGTAGTAACACACATGGGAGATTAAGGTTCGATTAAAGTTTGTTTATTTTGTATCAGGAAAGTAATTTGCTTTTCTGACAAAATTACTCTGAAGAGTAATTAGTTTCAATTGATCACGTTTGAACAAATAATGTGATGTATGATCAATTATCAAACATCCTCTACTTTTTCTTTTTACTGTTTTACCACAGGAATCCGTTTCATTATTTATTCCAGTAGATGTGTACAGATTTACCTTTTGGCATTTATGTAGTAAAATTGGTTAATTATTTATTGTTAAAACTGAACAATTAGTTGTGAACTTTAACTTCAAAGTTGAATAGGTACATGTACAAGTTTGATAATAGTCTTTATCTTCATGTCATATTTAAAACTTGTTTATAATTACTGTGCCTACTGGTAGCTGTTAGGTTATCATTTATTTATCACTGTCCCCTACCCCCGCCTCCGAGTTCTGCAATTAGTAGTAACTTTAAAATGAGCAAATTTAAAACATGTATATAGTCATAGCCTTTTCATATACAGGTGCATCTTCATAAATCTTCATTTTATGTAATATATTTATCTATGTAATATTTAACTAATATTACTTTATAATATATAATCAGTTCTGGGGCACACTTGGTAGCTACTAGTGTGTTACAAATATGCCTGCAGACTTGTAACTATAAATTTTTGCCTGTGTACAAAAAAAGTATTTTGATGTCAAATTGTGAAAATTTTATTTATTTATTTATTTATTTATTTATTTATTTATTTATTTATTTATTTATTTATTTATTTATGACTATTCCAGATCACTGGTATAGCTGTCTTGGTACTAGGAATATGGATCGTGGCAGGGTTACAGAAGTACACTGAGTTACTGGACGGCTATCCCTCGGCCGCGACATGGGCCATCATCGGGACTGGAGCTGCCATTGTCATCATCGCCTCCTTTGCCTGTTACTGCACCTTCAAGGGGTACGGACGGCTCTTGTATATTGTAAGTATACTCATCCTTATGTCATGTTTACACTGGAATAGTTGAGTGGGCAACTGACCAAAAGAACATGATATTTATTCTGATGGTTGTGAATCCAGTGTTTTAGAGCTGCATTTAACCATCGATTTCATGCTGATAAATGACTGAAATGATTCTAAATCACACTTTTGCAGGCATGAAATATTAAACCTTCAGGAGTTTACAGGTACAAAAACGAGCCTTTTACTAGTACTTGAGAATGATTCATTTTGGAGTTCATTTTTGCAAGCCTTTTCATCAAGTATGTTGGTCAGTTTTGCTTCTTCTTTGGTCTGACTGTCTGTTTGTTTGTTCATGCTCTACAAGACTGACATTCAGCAAAATATCAGTTCCAACATGTTCCATGTATTGTAAAGTAACCTGGAAAACTATATTCTGTCCCTGGAACTACTGCACTTTCTGACAAAATTTTCCTGGAAAACCCTGGATAAACTTTTTTCACATCTTGGTTGAACCCTGATAAACAGAAGAAACCACCTGCAAGTTTCTATGTGGCATTGACGTATACATCACAAATTTTTAAAGGTTGCTGTGGAAACTCATTTACAACTAGCTGTCTCTGATGTTAATCATTTCTGCATATACACAGGATTAATTTCAAACACGGCATACAGTATATCGTGACATATTGTTGTTCTTTGGACTGGAAATATCGGCCATTTCATCTTCTCATGCATCCTTAAAAGATACTGTAGGATTTTTATTCTCTCTCTCGCTCTCTCTGTTTATTTATTTGTCACCACATATTCATAAGCAAATTCCAAGGCAATACAAACATGTCATGTTAAAATCAATACTGCTATGCCATGGGCAATAAATAATAAAATTTATTGCCAATGGCATAGCAGTTTCACAAAAAGCTGCTATGAAGAAATGCATTCAGTGCACCCTCCACTGTGTGACGTTACTGAACATGAACCTAACCACAGTGAATGTAGAAGGACATATCGATACGCACAGGGAGATAGCAGGTGTAAGACAGAACAACAGAAAATCGATCATATCTTGTATTCATGTAAAAGTTACATGCTTGTCTAAGATCACAGGTGCTCTGATAAACAATAGCTGAGCATCACTAATAGCAAATTTTAATGTGTTCGACTATAGCTATCTGAAGCGGCTGATGAAAATTGAGTATGCTTCAATGAGTCTAGAATGAAAGGAAACATGGCAGAACCGAAATTCTTCGCCTTAAGAAATAAGCCATGGCGACTTTGAAGATCAAATTACGCTAAAAGCCCATCATCTTCTCTTTTAGTACCAACAATGCAGTAAAATGCAGAACTCGCTGAATAGGGAAAATGAACCCTGGTTCTTAAGGTTAGGTTTTATGCTGAAAATTGTAAAAATTAAATATTTGGCATTACCTAGGAAATATTTTCTGAAGGTGAAAACCTTTCCTTAAAAAGTCATATTGATTGCAATCACCCAGAGGTTGATTGATTATTTTACTAAGGACAGTGGACTCATCATTTGCCCCCCACCGCATACACCCTTCTGTCATCTGTGTAAAAAATATAGAACTGTAAAATTGTTAATATAGATATTTCATGTTGTATATATATATATACTTATTAATCCTGTTGCAGTTTACTGGCTATATATGGAACACTTGTTTGATGTTTTTTACAATATTCACCTTAACATTGCTGAAAAAAATTACAGGAGAAAGGGATGTGTGAGAGATCGATTATATGGACTACCCTTGTTACTTAAAAGCTTGAAGATATAGGATTAGTGGGAAACAAATGACAATGATAAATGCCAATAAAGCTCGGGACGCTCCATTATGATTACAAAAGTGCTTCATTTCTGATGGCTTCGGCAAGATCTCGTTAACCTAATGTGTCTGATAAAGGTGAAGGCCTGAAGGAAATTGGTGGAAAGGTTCTTCACTGTGGCGTTGTCTAGAAAGGTCATTTTGATTGAAGTGGATTTATTGATTTTTGTTCGTTATGGAGAAGGTGGTTTTGTTGCATCATCCCGTCTGATACATTACAGCTGTCCCCATGCCAAATGCCAGTAAACTTGAGGCCGGAGAAGTGATGATTTGTAAATATGTTCTTATTCTGACAACTGGTATGGACCAGTTGATTTTAATCAATTTTAATAAAAAATTCTTAGACCCTCTTGATAAACAAATAAAGTTTCATTTATCAATAGCTATAGCAAAATCAACTGAGATTTACCAGACAATATCTCCTCTGTTGACTGTTAGACTTCATCAGGGAAATGAAGGCAGTGATTTATTTGTCTATTTTAATATAAAAAATTTTGATGAATTTGATTTAAATTAATTTTAAAATAGCTAATGAAACTGGTCAACATTCCACTTTCTTGGCTTGAAGGGCCAGTATTCTTTTACATTTTTTAAAAAAGACTAATAATTTGTTATATTATGGGTCTTTCTTAGGCCCATTTCACATCGTACGATATACTTATATCTGTATCAAATTCTTTTGAGAGATAAACAGTGGAGTAGTGTTGCTTTTTTATAAGAGTGTCATCTAATCAGATCCCCCTCTCTGGCATGACCAGTGAACTGATATAATTTTGACTGGTCCAAACATTTGGGAAAAAAAAACTAAAAGTGAAAGTGAGCAAAATCCCCTGTACCATGATTAAACATGTCAGGATGTTGCAATGTAGATAAGCATACTGCAAAATGTGAAAAGAGTCTTAAGAATTAATGCACTGGACCAAAACAGAGAGTGGTCTGAATCAGAAAATATTCACAAAATTTCTCTCTCTAAGCTGAAAGGATCAGAAGCCTTAAAAGTGACTGGTACACATACACTGATAATCTGTGGCTTATTTGAGATCTAATAATTGACCCCTCTTATACAGTGTATATGTTTTGTATATTCATCAACACGAGAAATACAAGATCAGATTTTTTTTTTTTTTTTTTGGTAAAAAAAAACTGTGTCTCAGGGTTGATTAAAGAATATTAGACACATTTTTCAGTAAAAACCTACTGTGTCTCGGGGGTCGATCTTATGAGACTAAACCATACTGACAGATCATTTCCCCCGAATTGATAAAATATCTTTTGATAGACTTGCTCAACGTCATCCAGGGATTCTGAACTGCAGGTTGTCTGGGACCAATGATTGACAGGGGGGATTGAAAACTTCAATCCTATGGAGAGTGCCAGACAAAGGAAATTAGACTTTGTAAAGCAGTGTGATTAAATGCTAATTTGATTGAAGATGGTGCATGCAGACTGGCTGCCATACAAGTAGAGAGTGCTGCCCTCTTTTAGCAAAAGAGGATATTAGAAACTGCACATTCATCATATCTTGACAGAATACATTTACATTGGATAGCATACTCTTTCAAACAAAAGCTGAATATATTACAGCTGATTGATATGTATTTTTTATTTTTTTGGATGATTTCAAAGAAAGCATGACAATAGAGCTTAAATGTAAAAAGATAGTTATATTTTCAAATATTAAAATACTGCAACAGTACTGAACAAAGATATCAATATAAACATGCAGACAACACCATCTTTGACTGTAACAAACTACTTCCATTCCTAGGAAGAACATATATAATGAAAAGGCAATTGTACCTATAAATACAATATTACAATAAGCAATACATTTTCTTCCATTTCAGTATGCAGCCTTCCTGATGGTAGTATTCCTGGCTGAGCTTGCTGCTGGCGCCACCTTCCTTGTGTTCAAGGGTCAAGTAAGTGATGCACCCTGAATGTCCAAGGTCACTCAGACACTGGAAACTCGCCCCTATTTTCACTGTCATTTCAATGTCTACTCTGAATGAAAATTTGATCCAGATTCTATGCAATTTCTTAAATTGGGTAAACTAAAGGGGTAAAAACATCCCCCTCAGAAAAAAAACTGCTTCGAAATTGCCTGAAAAGAAGAGAAGGAGTAAACAATGTCACCTTCATTAAAAAAAACAATATGTCAATACATTAAACAATGCCTCATCTCTTGGCATCTTTCTTAATTCACTGAGTGACATCTGTATAATGTGGAATGTCAGCATCAACAGTATTTTAGATTTTAAAGATGCTTCTTGTGTCAATCCTTTCAGGTACAAACTAGTCTGAAAACTGGCATGAACAACACCATGAACAGCTACACGGACGGCTCTGACAATGCCATGGACAAAGTGCAACAATCAGTAAGTATGGTTGCCATGGAAACCATTCTGTTATTTTGACACTATACATATACAAAACCCTATACGTGTTTTTCAGGAACAAAGCTGTTTATTTATTATGTGTGCTGCTTGAGATTGACCTATCGGAAAATATGTGATTTAGCACAGTGTGAATATTAATTTATTAGAAAAAATTGTCAAATGTGTTGTATATTTAAAACTTTTTGATTATAGCATTAAATGAACGTCATATACCCAGTTAAGTGAATATATACTTCAGATCAAGTGTTGTGGTAAATATATGTGATATAGAACAGTGTCTTCATTAGAATTTTCTTTTCAGATTGCCATATTTGTACTGTTTTAAAAAACTGCTGTGATTATTTTGATTACACTGTATTAAAAATTTTCATGATTATACCATGAAAGAAACATCATATAAAATTAATATACACTTCAGATCAAGTGCTGTGGTATTAACAGCTATGTTGACTGGTACTATACGAAATATGATAAGAACACAGAGAAGCCAAACACTGTGAAAGTGCCGAAGTCTTGCTGTGTAACCAGTAGTAACTGTTCTAATACAAATCTGCCGTTGAATCTGAACCAGACCAGTGCCAGCATTTATGTGGAGGTATGGACAATTTTGCTTTGAAGAAGGGTGACTTTTTGCCAAAAAGTGTTAGTTCATATAAGAGCCAATATGTTTGTCTGTGCAAAATTTGGGCATCACTGATGTTAGTGCAACAGTCCTTTTTATCGTGGAATGCCCCAGAGGTATAAGTTGGGTTTATAGCCTAAAATATTCTATAAATGAAACCATTTGCCTTGACAATTATTTATTTTTTGATGGATCTCTACTGGATTCTTTTCCCAGGGCTGTCACCGTAAGATAGTGTCAGGGATGGAAGGTAACATTGCTATCATTGGATCTGCTGTACTTGGATTCTCATTCCTACAGGTATGTTTATTCAGACTTTTTTGCTTTTTATTTCAATTTAAATTAGATATCTCTTTTGTTTCTTGCTGGTTTTCTGCCTCAAGTGGACCCTAGACCCTGGTTGTAAGACCCTGTGCATATACTTTTTCAAGTGCATTTCTTGTCTTAGCATATGAAAAAAAAAGACAAAATGTCAGTTTCCTCTACCACTGAGGGTAGAGTACTTCCACTCAACCTCCTCTAAATTAATGAAATGTCTTATCTGATTGGGGCTGTAGGTACCATTGCAGTTTTTCTGCTTAGAGAAATCATATTTTCATTTTTAATTCATTATTATAATACATGTACTGTATATATTTTTCATTTTCAGTTACTGGGCTCTGTTTTGGCCTGTTGTCTTGGTAAAGGCATCAACAAGGCCAAGTATGAACAAGTGGCATAAGGCAAGAACTGCCTTGAATTACCAACTGAAAAACTGGACAAGTTTGAAGAAGTTACTTCCATAATTTGGAGATTTTTCTTTCTTGCCTGTCAAAAATCATTATGTAAAATTAAATCGTTTAGATATAGTTTGGAGCTATATGAAATTTATCAAGAGGAATAACAAAATATATTGAGAACAACCACAATAAATGGCAGAAAAGAGTGGTATAATACAATTCATTTTATTACATTAATTCATGTGATATAATTTACATGTATTCCTTTATTTTGTCAGAAGTTGATAAGGTCCAAGATAGAAAGTTGACATTCAGTTACAAATATTCTAGTCCCAAACATGAGCACAAGGTCTGTTTTCTTTACACTGAAAAAGTCAACGTCCAACATACCAGAATCAAAAGCTGCATAGAGCTGTATTTAGACCAGGGCCAACTTAGACCAGACAAAGACTGAATGATGTCACAAAACCAGATTTCAGTACATCTTTTGAAATGTTTACCTGTCGTGCAGCCAGGCAGGCCTCAAGTAGTAGATTTAATTTTCTTTCTTCTTATTCTTCATCTGACCTCTTGCAAATAAGCAATTTTTGCCTCAGGTTCCATTGGCATGAGTGAAAGTTTTCGGGGTACCCTAGTAAAGCTTAATTTCAGGATTTTCTGTCTTCATTTCGATCATTTTCTTTATATGGTCTAAATGCGACGAGGAATTGCAAGTGTTTTCTGGATTTCCAGTTTTAACTATTTTAATCCATATCTTTGGCCAGACCTTATATTTGATCAGTCTGTCAAAAGCTATAGGCACCAGTTATTCTATGCCTGGTTTAAGTTGGTTCTGGTATAACCACAGCATAAAAATATGAAAATATTTTATTCCCCATAAGCATAGCAAAATCAGATATATTCCATACCCAAGCATGACCACCGAGTGCAGTATTATGGCAGTGCTATTTGAGATTTCCATTATAATCATTATGAACTCGTCATGTTACTAATTCAATATTAAATGTAGTTATGACTGTAGACTATGGCATAGCTTGGATAGAATTTCATGCAGGCATGATGTAGTTTTTTTTTTTTTTTTTTTTTTCATCCAAATATATTTTTTTTCCGTTTTGATGAGCATTCTTTGCGTAAGGTGACTATTGGGCCGCATCTTTATGTTTAAACAATACTTGATGCTAGCTACGCTAATACTAAGTCATATTTTGAACTCACAAGATCAGAAAGTTAATGTTTCACAGTGCCGTTACCATGTTTTGACAATCACTTTCAAGGTAAATGATATAAATGTGAAAAAAAAAATTATTCAAGCGTGTTATTCTACAACCTTTCATCATTGCTCAAACAAACTCTACATACAAGTTGTACTACATGTGCATCCACAGAAGTTAAATATTTTGGGACTTTCGCAAATTTATGTGTAATTTTGACAATGTGTTTGATGGTTTAGTGTAAAAGGAAGTATCGAAGGTCTAATATATATACTTTATTGTACTAACTATCAATTTTTCTTTGTAATCAGTATTTCACTTCTTTTGATGTATTGCATGTTACACATGTATATTAGAAATTAGATTAATAATGCAACTCGAGAATTGAGGTTGAAGTTTCCTTTATATGAAAATGAAATAAAAAGGGTATATAGTCACAGATATTTTAAGGGATAAAGTGGGATAAATGCCAGTTTGATTCAAAGTAGATGTAAAGTTGGTAGCCTGAGCAAAAAAGGGGCATTGTCAATTTCTATCAGACCTTTCTCATTATTCAGTGATTGGGGAATTTTTGTGGTAAGTGATTTTTATTCATGATTAAATTACTTTGAAAATTTTCTATCCTTAAAGACTGATTTATGGATATAGCACAAAGTTGGCTTTTTAATTCCGTTATGTTGTTACTTTTGTGTACTTTTGGTGTGGAAAGTATTGTGAAAGATGGGCTGGTATTAACAGATATTTTCCCTTAATGGGATCAGCGTCTTTAGTTGTTCTCTGTACACTTACTAAATTTTGTAAGTCATTTACAGTTTAATTGTTGTCAAATGGTTTGAAATGTGTCAGTTAAGTATCACCGTGCTCAACATTGTTTAAAGCTTACTTAAGGATGGAATATGTATGGGATTTTTGCCATTATTTAACATACATTTGAAAGTTGGGATAACATCGATGCAGAACTAATGATGATTTCCAGTTCTGTGGTTTCTTAAAATATAACCCATTTCATAGATGGATACATAAAGTTTAACATAAAATTTTGCATGGTTTATTCACAGTCATTTATTTATGGAGTATATATGTTTACAAAACTTTGTAGTGTTTACTAAACTTAGAGACAGAATTGCACTTTTTGCTAAATCGATAATAATGATTACAAGGCCACACTTTTAACTGTTAGCTGTCACTGACAAGAAAATTGTACAGTGAAGTTTTAGTGGTATTGCTTTGGTGTACTTTCACCAAGATTTGTAACTGAATAAAGAATGGCAAACACATAGACACGTTATTTTCATTGGTAGGTAACCTACATATATACAGGATTGTCCTTCAAAATTGGCATTTTCAATTTGTGACTTGGAAATCCTACCTATCCCGTCCCATTATCTGAATATCCATGTGACTTGTTGTACATAATGAAAACTTGGCGGTGTTGATGCTATTAAACATGTTATATTGCATCAAAATTGACAAAACCCCTGCTTTGGGCACTGTCATCATTATTTTCTGCACTGCCTGTACATTTTGGCCTTGCTGCCTTGTTTTTAATATCATTTGTTAACCACTTTCTTTGACTCATACAGCAAACGGATAGGGTTTGAAAATTGGGTAACAAACTGTTTTCATTATGTTCTAGATAGCTTCGTCGTGTCTTCTTGTCCATTGTATCAGGTATCGGAGCCTCACTAATGGACCATACACTTTTCTAATGCACGATTATGAGGCAAAGCTGAAATACACCTCTACTGTGTCGATAATTTACTTGATAAAATGAAGTGTACACAGCATTCACAAACTGGTTTTTGTTTAGAAATAAAGCACGTTTACATCAACAATTCCAGAAAAGATATATTCAAAACTCCATAATAGTAAGGTTATCTGCTGTGAAATTTTGAAATAGTGTGGCACGTACATGTACCACCTTTGGCGGCAAAACATTGGCAAAAGATAGGCGCTTGGCAAGTCAGCTGAACCCAATGAATTTATTATGCTAGGCCTCTTTGTATATTTACGGCTCATAGTCGGAAGATCAAGAATTATTGTCGCTACCAGCATTTCGTATAATCACAGAAAGTAAATCAAAAGCCGAAGTTGACAACCTCATAGAAGTATGCTTCGTTTCATCTAAACATCTAGGATCAGCCACCCAAACAACCGTAGTGAATTTACAGATGGAATACGGAAAATTTTCCTTCAAAAGCAAAGTCCAGGTAAATGTATTGTTTTAAAAACATAGCTCATAAGGCGTACGTGGCTGGAGAAAAGGTGTTGTCAAATATAAACTACCTTGTGTATACCACTTCTGCATAACGTAATATGTGGTGATTATAGAAATATACATGTACTGTAGAAAATTATCTTTGGCCTGGTCCTTGTATGATTAAGATAGATTTTTTTTCTGACAAACAGTCGCACAGACGATTTTGGACAGCTTTGCTGCCTTTAATAATGTTACAGAAACACTCGACGTGTCTTCTGGTCCATATTGTATCAAATCTCAGTGCCTCGTCGACGGACTACTTCTCTTATGCAAAATTATTTAGAGGCAAAACTAAAACACACCTCTACGCGCAATGTCGATAATTTACTTTGTGAAATATAATGTGCATGGCATTCAAAAACTGAATTTTGCTTAGAAATGNCTGCCTCCCTCTACATATAAAATTCAAGATGGCGCACGTGCAGTGACAGGCCCGTATGGCTTGACAGAATAAGTTGACCGAATAATACGCGAAAAACTTTCAAATGAGATCAGCATATAATGTCACGGTAAAAGACGTTAAAGACGCGAATATACAGATAATCTTCACAACGTCTGAAGTAGTTTATTTTATTTTTGCTCATTACCTCAGACGGCACGCTCCGTGGTTTGTGACCGATACTGCATTACGTCATTTTCAAATTAACGTTGGCCGTTATGTGGGAAAATTGTGGATAGCAGGACAAAAACTCACAAGTAAAATAAATATTAAATCTTTCAAACAAAACTTTGCAAAGTGAAGAAAAACCCGTTAGCAAGGCAAGAGATAGGCCCTGTGTCAGCCTAGAAAAAGGAACAGTACCGGCAGATAAGCAACTATGTAATTACGTCGGCTTACATCAAGCGGCAATTAACTCCCCGTCGAGCATAAACAGGGTGACAAGCCGCCACCGATGGACAAGCGGGGTTGATTTGCATATTAGCGAACATAGGGCGGGCTTGACGTCTTCTCATTTTCATTGCCTTTGTGTTTTGCCCTATAATTATCTCGTCACCATGTACGCGTACAGACGTCAGAAAATGATCAATTAGTTGTCGCGGGAATTATAGGCATGACAGTACATTGTACTTTTTTGTATGTAGGGTCCAAGATGGGTAAACTGAATAAATGTGTGTAGCAAGATAAAGCTACATGTGTATACTGGAAGTATGAAGATTCATATCAAAACACCATATAGGTCTTTAAGAAGTAAATAAGTTAGAATACTGGTGTATCTAACAGTATGAATATCTACTATAAAGATGTAATATGTAATATCCAAGTTTTTGGCCCCTGAAGAAGGCCTAATATAAAAGCAAGTCGCCATGGGACCTAAGTTACAGTACACAAAACATTTTTAAGATATTAGAGCTTATGAATTTTTCACTGAACATAAGATTATAAAGATTAGTATCACTGACAGATATGGCAATATACATGTATACATAAACAGATGCTCTGTGCAATCATGTGATGGACAGCTAGTAGACAAAGTCCACTCCACATGGTTGTAAGAGAGCTTCAGATTAGCTCTTTGAGGTCAGTTACGCTGACTGTTCTAAAGTGAATGGTCCACTGGCTCATAACAATATTCTAAACCTGTATGGGATGAATATTTTAGTAAGGCATCTAATTGTCTATTTACATGAGTAGATATTGATTATTTATAGTGGTACATTATGAATCTTAGATAGTTGATATTATAAATAAATAAATAAATAAATAAATAAATAAATAGATAGATAAATAATTGAATAGATAAAAAAAATAAGTAAATAAGGTAATATTAGAAAGAATATCAAAATTACTACAGGCAATTAATTGAAATAAGTATATTTGATGACCCTTTTAAAAAAAAGAAGGTGGTTGTTGCTTGCAAAAAAAAAAAAAAAATTCAAGAGCCATTACTGGAGTGAGTTGGTGTTTCTTGTCACTAATCTTTCAAGTGAATGATATATTATTTGCACTAAGAAATTGTGTACTCAGCAGCAAGTGCACATAGGGGAATAGTGACTGATCAAAGTAAATGTATAACAAAAAACACAGCTGTACTAGCTAGGTGACTAACCACACACACTGAACACACTGTATACAAGGTATTGATTGTCTACTCTGATGGCCTTTTGAGAGTGCATTCATGTCTGAAAATTTTCATAGTCCAGTAGTTTGGTTTTATCAAGGGAGTATAGATATGTTTATTCCTTATTTACTAGTATATACAGTAATTTTACAGAGATCTAGAAATGTTCACCATGGCCAGTACTATACATATATATATATATGAACATCACACTTACATGTACTAGTATATTGTAATAGTAGACACATTAACTTATTTATTTATTTATTTATTTATTTATTTATTTATTTATTTATATTTTTTTTGTCAGTTCATCGTTTTGTTCATAAGTATGTGATATATGAGAATGTTTGCCTGTTGAATAAAACATGAATTCTGAGGATAATTTGTCTCGTGGGTTCCACTGATAGATAGATAGATATACATTAATAATGTACCAGCAGTGGTGACCACTGGGATATATGATACTGGTAGCTTGATTGTGTACAAATGAGGAAGTCGTATTCCCAGCAGATCTAACTTAGTCTTGTTGTTTAATGGAAGCAGGACGTGTTCACAGCAGAACCAGCTTGGACTAGCCCAATGCTTCACCACCAGACCTGTTAATACTCCTGATCTCATCTGGAGTCTCACAACTTGGGGACATATCTCCTGACCTCCTGTTTCAGACTAAAGATACCCTGATCTGGCAGGCTTTTTTTTTTCTTCTCTTTTTCAAGAATTAAAGAAACCTTTCTTGTTTATTGTATATCTAATGTAACTTATTATTTATAAAAATAAAATCAATTCACCAACTTAAAGAATTACTCAATGGCAGATTTGATGGTTCTTTGTTGTTTAAAATAGGTGAAAATGTTTGATAATAGCAAACTGCAATTATACCAAAAAAAGGAAAGCGTTACTTCCTAAGGTATAAAAAACAATCCAAACAGTTATTTTTTTTATTTATTTATTTTTTTTTTTTTGGGGGGGGGGGAGGGGATACCGGTGCTCTGCAAATCCTACGTCTCATGTTGAGCACTTTCACTGTGAACATCCCACCAATATCCAGCTCTAATAAAGCTAGATTATCAATTATTCATTCCCAACTGAGTATACAAATTGCCCGAACCTGTACATAGTGTACAACTGGGCAAAATGTACTTGAGCCAATTATAAAGACCTATACCAGTACACATGAGGTTTGCTAGAGTGATTGCCCATTATTGTGTGGGTGGTTGTATAGACCCAACAGAGTCGTGTTATTTTAAGTATAAGTAAATAGAAATTTTAGGTAGAATACTCAGAATTGGCAAAATCAGTGGGTGTATGGGATCCTTGCTGGTGGGGAGAGCAGAGAGCTCCTAGCCTCTTTGAAGGGTTATTAGAACCAGACACCAGCAAGATTTGTAGGAAGTGGATATAGAGGTCTGTCTGTGTACAGAAACAGGCACATATAAATTGGGGAGGGGAGGGGGGGGGTAAATCTTCACTGACATGTTTTCACAAGTTAAAATGCAGAACAAGATGAGCAGAAAACAATTGGAAGTTAATTTGTATGCGTTTGAAGCATGAAAAGATGAGCTGCATGGTCTGTTGAACAAATATGTAAATGGACATTTTTTTTTCGTTGTCTGAGAATGTTCAGGGCATTACAGATGATGATGAATGAAAGCTCCAAAACAAGGAAAATTTTAGATTATTAGGAAATTAATATGATAATTTGAACAATTAAAAATTATTTCATAACTAAGACATTTCAGGTCTGAAATATCCAACAAACAAAAATATATTAATTAATTTATTTATTTATTTATAAAGTAATTAAAAACTGAGAAAAATAGACTGTTAAAAGGAGTCGATTTGTTACCAACTAATTTGTCTTAACAACTGATACATCAGGTCATATATTATCTGTAGTTCACTACTCTCTTTCAACAGAATATGAATAACATTCTGCTTGAAATCAATTTCCCTTTCAGCACAGTGCCACATCTATCTCTTCTCTCACTGCTGAGATGAAAACCTTGGAGACCTCTCTACATAAGACAAAAAAATGCATAGATTTTTTCTGTCTGTCTCTACTTAATGCTTTCATAAGTTTGACATTAAGTGATACTTTATGGAAGTTCTGGTTACCCTCTGGAGTGAAAAACAAGATCGCTTCCCACTTAGAGAGCTACAGTGTTTTTATAACAGTGCGTCATAGACTTATATACAGGTACCCTGAGTATTCACCTTGATTCTCGCCCCCATCTCTACTAGCCGTTCTCTGTTTTTCAGGTAACTTCCCTCTTGCAGATCATGCTGTATTTAATTCATTTATCACAGACACAGATTTACACTGAATTGCTCAAATTGAATCTCTCATTTACGATTCCCTGTCTTGGTGGAACAGTTTTCACATTGTCAATTATAATATCTTACTACATAATGTTCTAGAGCCAGCTGACCCAATAGCAATACCAGGCCCGTAGCCAGCAATTTCAGAAGGGGGGTTCGTTTTCTGAAAAAGTGGACCTTTTACCATAAAATCCTCAAGTACATAGATCAAATTTTACCTTTTCCAAGCAAAAAGGGTGGTTCTTTCGAACCCCCCGAACCCCCCCTGGCTACGGGCCTGAATACTGTATCTTTCTCAGTGCATTATTAGCACACCATATAACCACATGCATCAACATATAAGCAGGGTGTACTGTAGGGCAACTTAAGGATAATTGATATATTTCCTAGTTTGTCATGAACATCTCTGTGGGCAATTTTCAGTAATTGATATTTCTTGTCTATCACTCTTCACTTTGTCTGGCACACACAAGTAGGTAGGGGGCTTATAATTCAGTTATAATATTTGCATTTGGTGATGTGTTGGTGTCTCGTGGGCATTCGTCTGTTTTGTTTTTTGAGGTAAAACATAGTGCTCTGGTCCTGCAGGAATTGATACTAACTGGAAAGAGTATAATTCACCAAGGGAAATTATCTAGGTGGGTGGGGGTGAATTGAAAAATAAAGATAGTATGTACATATAGAGACGCATTTGCGTTAAAATCTCACAGGAGCTTTTCAGTTTTTCCTTTCTCTGCCAATTTATTCATCCTTAAAAATGGAAAATAAGACACTGAATTGATCATATTTCACCAAGGGGATGTCTGAGAGAGAAAAATCGAAATTGAAAAGAAAGGGAAAGAAAAAATTATGTGAAATAGACAGATTGACTGACTGACTTGAAAGAACTGCTGCACTAGGACCACAGTCATTTCTCCAGTCTGAATTCGCCTTGCTTATTTGATGAAAGGAATTATTCAAAAATTGCTTCCTCTCAGCGGAGCATTATTCATGGAAAATGAAACCTTCTGGGCCTGTTGATGGGAAGAAGAAAAACAAAAGGAGAGAAGGGGGGGGAGAAACAAGAAATGATAGAATGATCAACTTAGAGTAGTTGAATGGCTAACCAAAAGCTTATTAACCCATTTGACTTATCGGTAATTTTTGGAATCAGGAAAATTGTATTTTTAATGGTGCCTTCATAAAGTAGAATTACAGGATTGCATTTCAATTTTGGTGATACCACTCGATGTCAATGTTCTCATTTTAAAAACTTATGGCTTAAAAATATACCATGTCTGTAAAATTCACTATTTCCCCCTTTGAAAGGATTGAAGTATCACCATACTAGTAGATAACACTGGAAAATGGACAGTGATCGTGATCCAGTGATCAGGACAATGTACACACTTGTATGCAAGCACCTGTTTTCACATCAAGCACCTGTTTCCACATTATTTGGTGACTCAGATACCTCAAGTCAGTACCTAATAAATGTGATTCGCAAGAGTTTTTATCTAATCAGAAACACTCCTGACCTACATAAAGTATATATAAGGAGTAGTAACACACATGGGAGATTAACCGATTAAAGTTTGTTTATTTTGTATCAGGAAAGTAATTTGCTTTTCTGACAAAATTACTCTGAAGAGTAATTAGTTTCAATTGATCACGTTTGAACAAATAATGTGATGTATGATCAATTATCAAACATCCTCTACTTTTTCTTTTTACTGTTTTACCACAGGAATCTGTTTCCTTATTTATTCCAGTAGATGTGTACAGATTTACCTTTTGGCATTTATGTAGTAAAATTGGTTAATTATTTATTGTTAAAACTGAACAATTAGTTGTGAACTTTAACTTCAAAGTTGAATAGGTACATGTACAAGTTTGATAATAGTCTTTATCTTCATGTCATATTTAAAACTTGTTTATAATTACTGTGCCTACTGGTAGCTGTTAGGTTATCATTTATTTATCACTGTCCCTTACCCCCGCCCCTGCCTCCGAGTTCTGCAATTAGTAGTAACTTTAAAATGAGCAAATTTAAAACATGTATATAGTCATAGCCTTTTCATATACAGGTGCATCTTCATAAATCTTCATTTTATGTAATATATTTATCTATGTAATATTTAACTAATATTACTTTATAATATATAATCAGTTCTGGGGCACACTTGGTAGCTACTAGTGTGTTACAAATATGCCTGCAGACTTGTAACTATAAAATTTTGCCTGTGTACAAAAAAAGTATTTTGATGTCAAATTGTGAAAATTTTATTTATTTATTTATTTATTTATTTATGACTATTCCAGATCACTGGTATAGCTGTCTTGGTACTAGGAATATGGATCGTGGCAGGGTTACAGAAGTACACTGAGTTACTGGACGGCTATCCCTCGGCCGCGACATGGGCCATCATCGGGACTGGAGCTGCCATTGTCATCATCGCCTCCTTTGCCTGTTACTGCACCTTCAAGGGGTACGGACGGCTCTTGTATATTGTAAGTATACTCATCCTTATGTCTTGTTTACACTGGAATAGTTGAGTGGGCAACTGACCAAAAGAACATGATATTTATTCTGATGGTTGTGAATCCAGTGCTTTAGAGCTGCATTTAACCATCGATTTCATGCTGATAAATGACTGAAATGATTCTAAATCACACTTCTGCAGGCATGAAATATTAAACCTTCAGGAGTTTACAGGTACAAAAACAAGCCTTTTACTAGTACTTGAGAATGATTCATTTTGGAGTTCATTTTTGCAAGCCTTTTCATCAAGTATGTTGGTCAGTTTTGTTTCTTCTTTGGTCTGACTGTCTGTTTGTTTGTTCATGCTCTACAAGACTGACATTCAGCAAAATTTCAGTTCCAACATGTTCCATGTATTGTAAAGTAACCTGGAAAACTATGTTCTGTCCCTGGAACTACTGCACTTTCTGACAAAATTTTCCTGGAAAACCCTGGATAAACTTTTTTCACATCTTGGTTGAACCCTGATAAACAGAAGAAACCACCTGCAAGTTTCTATGTGGCATTGACGTATACATCACAAATTTTTAAAGGTTGCTGTGGAAACTCATTTACAACTAGCTGTCTCTGATGTTAATCATTTCTGCATATACACAGGATTCATTTCGAACACGAGCATACAGTATATCGTGACATATTGTTGTTCTTTGGACTGGAAATATCGGCCATTTCATCTTCTCATGCATCCTTAAGAGATGCTGTAGGATTATTATTCTCTCTCTCTCTCTCTCTGTTTATTTGTCAACTCATATTCATGAGCAGATTCCTACCGGTAGGCAATACAAACATGTCATCAATACTGCTATGCCATTGGCAATAAATAATAAAATTTATTGCCAATGGAATAGCAGTTTCACAAAAAGCTTCTATGAAGAAATGCATTCGGTGCACCCTCCACTGTGTGACGTTATTGAACATGAACCTAACCACAGTGAATGTAGAAGGACATATCGATACGCACAGGGAGATAGCAGGTGTAAGACAGAACAACAGAAAATCGATCATATCTTGTATTCACGTAAAAGTTACATGCTTGTCTAAGATCACAGGTGCTCTGATAAACAATAGCTGAGCATCACTAATAGCAAATTTTAATGTGTTCGACTATAGCTATCTGAAGCGGCTGATGAAAATTGAGTATGCTTCAATGAGTCTAGAATGAAAGGAAACATGGCAGATCAGAAATTCTTCGCCCTAAGAATTAAGCCATGGCGACTTTGAAGATCAAATTACGCTAAAAGCCCATCATCTTCTCTTTTAGTTCCAACAATGCAGTAAAATGCAGAACTTGCTGAATAGGGAAAATGAACCCTGGTTCTTAAGGTTAGGTTTTATGCTGAAAATTGTAAAAATTAAATATTTGGCATTACCTAGGGAATATTTTCTGAAGGTGAAAACTTTTCCTTAAAAAGTCATATTGATTGCAATCACCCAGAGGTTGATTGATTATTTCACTAAGGACAGTGGACTCATCATTTGCCCCCCACCGCATACACCCTTCTGTCATCTGTGTAAAAAATATAGAACTGTAAAATTGTTAATATAGATATTTCATGTTGTATATATATATATACTTATTAATCCTGTTGCAGTTTGCTGGCTATATATAGAACACTTGTTTGATGTTTTTTACAATATTCACCTTAACATTGCTGAAAAAAATTACAGGAGAAAGGGATGTGTGAGAGATCGATTATATGGACTACCCTTGTTACTTAAAAGCTTGAAGATATAGGATTAGTGGGAAACAAATGACGATGATAAATGCCAATAAAGCTCGGGATGCTCCATTATGATTACAAAAGTGCTTCATTTCTGATGGCTTCGGCAAAATCTCGTTAACCTAATGTGTCTGATAAAGGTGAAGGCCTGAAGGAAATTGGTGGAAAGGTTCTTCACTGTGGCGTTGTCTAGAAAGGTCATCTTGATTGAAGTGGATTTATTGATTTTTGTTCGTTATGGAGAAGGTGGTTTTGTTGCATCATCCCGTCTGATACATTACAGCTGTCCCCATGCCAAATGCCAGTAAACTTGAGGCCGGAGAAGTGATGATTTGTAAATATGTTCTTATTCTGACAACTGGTATGGACCAGTTGATTTTAATCAATTTTAATAAAAAATTCTTAGACCCTCTTGATAAGTAAATAAAGTTTCATTTGTCAGTAGCTAATAACAGCAAAATCAACTGAGATTTACCAGCCAATATCTCCTCTGTTGACTGTCAGACTTCATCAGGGAAATGAAGGCAGTGATTTGTTTGTCTATTTTAACATAAAAATTTTTGATGAATGATTTGATTTAAATTAATTTTAAAATACACATAGCTAATGAAACTGTTCAACATTACACCCTCTTGGCTTGAAGGGTTGGTATTCTTTTACATTTTTGACAAAGAAAGAATTTGTTATATCAATGGGCCTTTCTTAGGCCCATTTCACATACTTATATACTTATATCTGTATCAAAATCTTTTGAGAGATTAACAATGGAATTGTGTGACTTTATATATATATATATCTAATCAGCCCACACCCCCTCTCTGGCATGGCCAGTGAAGGGGAATAATTTTGAAGTCCAAACATTTGGAAACAAACTTAAAAGTGAAAGTGAGCAAAATCCCCTGTACCATGATTAAACATGTTGGGATGTTGCAATGCAGATAAGCATACTGCAAAATGTGAAAAGAGTCTTAAGAATTAATGCACTGGACCAAAACAGAGAGTGGTCTGAATCAGATAATCTGTGGCTTATTTGAGATCTAATAATGGACCCCTCTTATACAGTGTATATGTTTTGTATATTCATCAACACGAGAAATACAAGATCAGATTTTTTTTTAATTTTTTGTAAAAACAAACTGTATCTCAGGGTTGATTGAAGAATATTAGGCACACATTTTTCAGTATAAACCTACTGTGTCTCGGGGGTCGATCTTACGAGACTAAACCAGACTGACAGATCATTTCCCCCCGAATTGATAAAATATCATTTGATAGACTTGCTCAACGTCATCCAGGGATTCTGAACTGTAGGTTAGCTGGGACCAATGATTGACAGGGGGGATTGAAAATTTCAATCCTATGGAGAGTGCCAGACAAAGGAAATTAGACTTAGTAAAGCAGCGTGATTAAATGCTAATTTGATTGAAGATGGTGCAAGCAGACTGGCTGCCATACCAGTACCAGCTGAGAGTGCTGCCCCCTTTTGGCAAAAGAGGATATTAAAAAACTGCATGTTCATCTGGACAGAATACATTTACATTGGATAGCGTACTCTTTCAAACAAAAGCTGAATATATTACAACTGATTGATACGTTTTTTTTTTTTCTTTTGGATGATTTCAAAGAAAGTATGACAACAGAGCTCAAAGGTAAAAAGATAGTTATATTTTCAAATATTAAAATACTGCAACAGTACTGAACAAAACTGTCAATATAAACATGCAGACAACACCATCTTTGACTGTAACAAACTACTTCCATTCCTAGGAAGAACATATATAATGAAAAGGCAATTGTACCTATAAATACAATATTACAATAAGCAATACATTATCTTCTATTTCAGTATGCAGCCTTCCTGATGGTAGTATTCCTGGCTGAGCTTGCTGCTGGCGCCACCTTCCTTGTGTTCAAGGGTCAAGTAAGTGTCGCACCCTGAATGTCCAAGGTCACTCAGGCACTGGAAACTCGCCCCTATTTTCACTGTCATTTCATCAGGAAATGTCTACTCTGAATGAAAATTTGATCCAGATTCTATGCAATTTCTTAAATTGGGTAAACTAAAGGGGTAAAAACATCCCCCTCAGAAAAAAAACTGCTTCGAAATTGCCTGAAAAGAAGAGAAGGAGTAAACAATGTCACCTTCATTAACAAAAAAACAATATGTCAATACATTAAACAATGCCTCATCTCTTGGCATCTTTCTTAATTCACTGAGTGACATCTGTATAATGTGGAATGTCAGCGTCAACAGTATTTTAGATTTTAAAGATGCTTCTTGTGTCAATCCTTTCAGGTACAAACTAGTTTGAAAACTGGCATGAACAACACCATGAAAAGCTACAAGGACGGCTCTGACAATGCCATGGACAAAGTGCAACAATCAGTAAGTATGGTTGCCATGGAAACCATTCTGTTTTTTTGACACTATACATATACAAAACCCTATACATGTTTTTCAGGAACAAAGCTGTTTATTTATTATGTGTGCTGCTTCAGATTGACCTATCAGAAAATGTGTGATTTAGCACAGTGTGAATATTGATTTATTTGAAAAAATTGTCAAATTGCCAAATGTGTTCTATATTAAAAACTTTTTGATTATAGCATTAAATGAATGTCATACACCTAGTAAAGTGAATATATACTTCAGATCAAGTGTTGTGGTAAATATGTGATATAGATCTGTGTGTTCATTTAATAGAATTTTTTTTCAGATTGCCATATTTGTACTATGTTTTAAAAAACTGCTGTGATTATTTTGATTACACTGTATTAAAAATTTTCATGATTATACCATGAAAGAAACATCATATAAAATGAATATATATACTTCAGATCAAGTGCTGTGGTATTAACAGCTATGTTGACTGGCACTATGTGGAGTATGGAAAGAAGTCAGAGAACTCAAGCACTGTGAAAGTGCCGAAGTCTTGCTGTGTAACCAGTAATAACTGTACCAATACACATCTGCCGTTGAATCTGAACCAGACCACTGCCAGCATTTATGTGGAGGTATGGACAATTTTGCTTTGAAGAAGGGTGACTTTTTGCCAAAAAGTGTCAGTTCATATAAGAGCCAATATGTTTGTCTATGCGAAATTTGAACATCACTGATGTAAGTACGAGAGTCACTTTTATCGTGGAATGCCCCAGAGGTATAAGTTGGCTTTATAGCCACACATATTCTATAAATGAAACCACTTGCCTTGACAATTATTTATTTTTTGATGGATCTCTTCCCTCCAGAAATTATCTTACCTCCTTTGTGACCACACAACCGTAAGAGCCTTATATGGAGTGCTTGGATTCATCAATCCTCCATGATATCCAGCACCATCATATCAGAGTGTAAATGTGGATATGAGGCACTCATCCACAATTACCAGCTCTTTCATGACCTATTCTTTACCTGCCTGCTTCAACTTACAGATAGGGTATTTATTGCCTGATATCCGCAGCAAATGAGATTAGTTGGCTTTAATGTATCTGAACTCATCTCGCCTCCCTGGAGAGCTTACAACCCAAACAGCAGCATGTCAGGGCTTGACACTAACTAACAGGTCCGTGGATCAAATATGGTGGTACCTACTTGAAAGCATGCCAAGATTTAATGGCTCTGTCCCTGCTGGAACAGTTCAGGCTGGGGGAGGGGGGGGGGGAATCCAATGTCAAGTGCTTGCCATATTTGATATGCAGACTAGTTGATCCACGGATCAACTTTGTTGTGAATGCTGTCTTAGTCTGTGGTAGTATTTAGATTAACCCATTGTAATGGCTCCTCCTCTTCCAGCAAGGGGATAATAGGCTATTATGCACTTGGCTCTCAGAAGCTCTTTCACTAGAGGAGGCATGTCAGACAATTAATAAGTTGATTACACTAGAAGTACTTTAGCAAGAATCTTTCAGAGAGTTGGATAGATCCAGCTAGAACACTAGGTTTATCTGAACATGGTTTATAATTTCTGCTAGCTCTACACTATGTTTAGTAAATGTTGCAAGTAATTCGGTACATTTATCAATGAAATTAACTGAATTTCTACTGGATTCTTTTCCCAGGGCTGTCACCTAAAGATAGTGTCAGGGATGGAGGGTAACATTGCTATCATTGGATCTGCTGTGCTTGGATTCTCATTCCTACAGGTATGTTTATTCAGACTTTTTTGCTTTTTATCTCAATTTAAATTCGATATTTCTTTTGTTTCTTGCTGGTTTTCTACCTCAAGTGGACCCTAGACCCTGGTTGTAAGACCCCGTGCACATGCTTTTTCAAGCACATTTCTTGTCTTTACATATGAAAAAAAAAAGACAAAATGTCAGTTTCCCCTACCACTGAGGGTACAGTACTACCACTCAACCTCCTCTAATGAAATGTCTCATCTGATTGGGGCCGTTGGTACCATTGCAGTTTTTTTTTTTTAAGAAATCATATTTTCATTTTTATTCATTATAATATATGTACTGTATATATATATATATTTTTTTTTTATTTTCAGTTACTGGGCTCTGTCCTGGCTTGTTGTCTTGGTAAAGGCATCAACAAGGCCAAGTATGAACAAGTGGCATAAGGCAAGAACTGCCTTGAATTACTAACTGAAAAACTGGACAAGTTCGTAGAGGTTACTTCCATAATTTGGAACTTTTTTCCTTCTTGCCCGTTGAAAATCATTATGTAAAATCAAATTGTTTAGATATAGTTTGGAGCTATATGAAATTTATCAAGAGGAATAACAAAATATATTGAGAACAACCACAATAAATGGAAGAAAAGAGTGGTATAATACAATTCATTTTATTACATTAATTCATGTTATATAATTTACATGTATTCTTTTATTTTGTCAGAAGTTGATAAGGTCCAAGATAGAAAGTTGACATTCAGTTACAAATATTCTAGTCCCAAACATGAGCACAAGGTCTGTTTTCTTTACACTGAAAAAGTCGACGTCCAACATACCAGAATCAAAATCTGCATAGAGCTGTATTTAGACCAGGGCCAACTTAGACCAGACATAGACTGAATGATGTCACAAAACCAGATTTCCGTACATCTTCTGAAATGTTTACCTTGTCATGCAGCCAGGCAGGCCTCAAGTAGTAGATTTAATTTTCTTTATTCTTATTCTTCATCTGACCTCTTGCAAATAAGCAATTTTTGCCTCAGGTTCCATTGGCATGAGTGAAAGTTTTCAGGGTACCCTAGTAAAGCTTAATTTTAGGATTTTCTGTCTTAATTTCGATCATTTTCTTTATATGGTCTAAATGCAATGAGAAATTGCGTGGTATGTTTTCTGGATTTCCATATCTTTATCCATATCTTTGGCCAGACCTTATGTTTGATCAGTCTGTCAAAAGCTATAGGCACCAGTTATTCTATGCCTGGTTTAAGTTGGTTCTGGTATAACCACAGCATAAAAATATGAAAATATTTTATTCCCCATAAGCATAGCAAAATCAGATATATTCCATACCTAAGCATGACCACCGAGCACAGTATTATGGCAGTGCTATTTGAGATTTCCATTATAATCATTATGACCTCGTCATGTTACTAATTCAATATTAAATGTAGTTATGACTGTAGACTTTGGTGTAGCTTGGATAGAATTTCATGCAGGCATGATGTAAGTTTTTTTTTTCATCCAAATATTTTTTTCTGTTTTGATGAGCTTTCTTTGCTGTAAGGTGACTAATGGGCCGCATCTTTATGTTCAAACAATACTAAGTCATATTTTGAACTCACAAGATCAGAAAGTTAATGTTTCACAGTGCAGTTACCATGTTTTGACAATCACTTTCAAGGTAAATGATATAAATGTGAAAAAAAAAATTTATTCAAGCGTGTTATTCTACAACCTTTCATCATTGCTCAAACAAACTCTACATACAAGTTGTACTACATGTGCATCCAAAGAAGTTAAATATTTTGGGACTTTCGCAAATTTATGTGTAATTTTGACAATGTGTTTGATGGTTTAGTGTAAAAGGAAATATCGAAGGTGTAATATATATACTTCATTGTACTAACTATCAATTTTTCTTTGTAATCAGTATTTCACTTCTTTTGATGTATTGCATGTTACACATGTATATTAGAAATTAGATTAATAATGCAACTTTAGAATTGAGGTTGAAGTTTCCTTTATATGAAAATGAAATAAAAAGGGTACATGGTCACAGATATTTTAAGCGATAAAGTGGGATAAATGCCAGTGTGATTCAAAGTAGATATAAAGTTGGTAGTCTAAGCAAAAAAGGGGCATTGCCAATTTCTATCAGACCTTTCTCATTATTCAGTGATTGGGAAATTTTTGTGGTAAATGATTTTTATTCATGATTAAATTACTTTGAAAATTTGCTGTCCATAAAGACTGATTTATGGATATAGCACAAAGTTGGCTTTTTAATTCCGTTATGTTGTTATTTTGTGTATTTTTGTTATGGAAAGTATTGTGAAAGATTGGGCTGGTATTAACAGATATTTTCCCTTAATGGGATCAGCGTCTTTAGTTGTTCTCTGTATACTTACTAAATTTTGTAAGTCATTTACAGTTTAATTGTTGTAAAATGGTTTGAAATGTGTCAATTAAGTATCACCGTGCTCAACATTGTTTAAAGCTTACTTAAGGATGGAATATGTATGGGATTTTTGCCATTATTTAACATACATGTGAAAGTTGGGATAACATCGATGCAGAACTAATGACGATTTCCAGTACTGTGGTTTCTTAAAATATAACCCATTTCATAGATGGATACATAAAGTTTAACATAAAATTTTGCATGGTTTATTCACAGTCATTTATTTATGGAGTATATATGTTTACAAAACTTTGTAGTGTTTACTAAACTTAGAGACAGAATTGCACGTTTTGCTAAATCGATTATAATGATTACAAGGCCACACTTTAAACTGTTAGTTGTCACTGACAAGAAAATTGTACAGTGAAGTTTTAATGGTATTGCTTTGGTGTACTTTCACCAAGATTTGCAATTAAATAAAGAAAGGCAAACACATAGACACGTTATTTTCATTGGTAGGTAACCTACATATATACAGGATTGTCCTTCACAATTGGCATTTTCAATTTGTAACTTGGAAATCCTAGCTATCCCGTCCCATTATCTGAATATCCATGTGACTTGTTGTACATAATGAAAACTTGGCGGTGTTGATGCTATTAAACATGTTATATTGCATCAAAATTGACAAAACCCCAGCTTTGGGCACTGTCATCATTATTTTCTGCACTGCCTGTACATTTGACGGCCTTGCTGCCTTGTTTTTAATATCCTTTGTTAACCACTTTCTTTGACTCATACAGCAAACGGATAGGGTTTGAAAATTGGGTAACAAACTGTTTTCATTATGTTCTAGATAGCTTCGTGTCTTCTTGTCCATTGTATCAGGTATCGGAGCCTCACTAATGGACCATACACTTTTCTAATGCACGATTATGAGGCAAAGCTGAAATACACCTCTACTGTGTCGATAATTTACTTGATAAAATGAAGTGTACACAGCATTCACAAACTGATTTTTGTTTAGAAATAAAGCACGTTTACATCAACAATTCCAGAAAAGATATATTCAAAACTCCATAATAGTAAGGTTATCTGCTGTGAAATTTTGCAATAGTGTGACACGTACCACCTTTGGCGGCAAAACATTGGCAAAAAATATGCGCTTGGCAAGTCAGCTGAACCCAATGGATTTATTATGCTAGGCCTCTTTTGTATATATTAACTGCTCATAGTCGGAAGATCAAGAATTATCGTCGCTACCAGCTTCGTTTCATCTAAACATCTAGGAACAGCCACCCAAACAACCGTAGCGAATGTACAGATGGAATACGGAAAATTTTAGTTCAAAAGCAATGTCCAGTTAAATGCGTTGTTTTAAAAACGTATATATCTCATATGTGGTTAGAAAAGAAGGTGTTGTCAGGTGTGTCAGTACCAATTAATAAACTACATTGTGTGTACCAAACAAATATACTGTAGAAAGGTACCTGTGGCCTGGTCCTTGTATGACTTACGACAGATCATTTTCTGTCAAACAGTCGCACAGACGAATTTTCACAGCCTTGCTGCCTTTAATAATGTTATAGAAACCCTCGACGTGTCTTCTGGTCCATATTGTATCAAATCTCAGTGCCTCGTCGACGGACTACTTCTCTTATGCAAAATTATTTAAGAGGCAAAACTAAAACACACCTCCACATGCAGTGTCGATAATTTACTTTGTGAAATATAATGTGCATGGCATTCAAAAACTGAATTTTGCTTAGAAATTAAACGCGTTTACATCACCAATTCCAAAACAGATACTATCTGATTAATTGTCTCTATTCAAAAGTATTATGCATCAAAATGTGTCATTTATTTTAAATCACACAAAGGGTTTATGTTCCTTCACCTCGGAGAATAGCCTGTTGCAGAATTGCTTAAAATAATGCTTTGAAGAAATGAGCATCAAAACATGATTTTGCGCAAGATGATAGTTTAATGCAACTCAAAAAGGCAATAAAAGCATAGAATCTGGACATTTTGGGCTTGTAACCTTTTTGGTTTGATCTTATCTATTTCATATCGGGGTCAAATTCATTAGCATCAATCTTGCCATCATTATTTTCATCCATGGCATCAAATTCTTCATTGGCGTCTCCGCCGGACCCTTCCGCGCCTTGCATGAACTCCTCTTTTGAAAGCGACCCATCACTGAAAAATGAATTGGAATCGATAGTATTGCAAAAATTTTAGATGATGCAACATGCATGGAACAAAAGCAACCTCTGTTTCATGGTATTCTGTACTTTGTAAGAAATTAATAATAATAATAATTCACTAAAAATTCAAAAGAAGTTGTTAAAATGCTATTTGTTACATAGGTAAATATACCTATCAATCCTTACATATCCTATGTATCTATTATTCGTATCTAGTCTGCAGAATTCTACATCTTACAAAAAGTAGAAAGGATTTGTAAATAATTAAAATATTTAAAAATTTAAAAAGCACGTCTAAACCTAAACATTATGACCAACATCTCACCCGTCAGTATCCAAACTATTAAAATAATCGCTAGCGTTTATGCCGGAATCAAAATCGGCATCAGAATCCGGAAGGGAACTGGAATCAGAATCTGGAAGGGATCTTTGACCTGGCGTACATCGGCATGTCACTAAGAAAGGACTGAAATTAGATGATGCTCAATAAAGAAAGTGTTCCGTAAAAGCAACTACAATAGATTGGGTATCTGTATGTAAAGATTAAAAATCATTCTTCATTGGTGGCCTCTAGTTACGCATCACAAAAGGTTCATTTTTACCTCTATAGGTCTTAATATTTATTAATCTTCTAACATTTTGAAAACCGAGGTCACTTCCGCCGTGGGCTCCCGCGGTTTGTATACGCATGGGTACCAACCTATGCAAGTTTATTAACAGGTGGAGTAGATAAATTGGTGAAACTGCGCGGGCGTTTGAAGCATACAACTGCCGTTACCGACAGAAAATTGAGCGTGATTGATCAACGGTTACTAAGTCAGCGGAACCCAATGGATTAATTGTGCTGAATATCATAGTACAAATACTGCATGTACATGTACGTCGAAGGTCAAATATTGTCACTAGCTGTACAATAAATTACAATGCTGACAATTTCATTCCATTTTATCTAACCTTCNCCCCCCCCCCCCCCCCCCCTCCAACTCGTACGTAATCCGAGGTGAATCTGGGCTCGATAACTCGAAGGCATCGCAAACATTGCAATCCATCTCCTATGCGATGGTGATTGCACCCCAGTCGCAAGTTGCGATGCTGTCGAGTTATCGACCCTGGACTGGACTTTAACTACAAATATATATATGCATGTAAATCACGTTTTAGTTATTTGTGCTTGGCGACAATGGTTTTCAGAATACCTGTCTTTTACGCTACTGTAGTTGTTAGTTGTGATCCCTTCAAAACGCTACTTGAAGACAAGAAGATATCTTAAATAAATATTTGGGTTGTTAGTAGGAAGTGTTGGGTTAACGAGACAGGTCACATCGGTTTTAAACATCGGATAATTTAGATTATATATATATATATATATATTACCTTATGACAGTCCTGACAGAAACCGTCAAAAGTAACGCAACATACGGCTTGAGAATATTCTATCAGGAAAGCCGCCAAACAGGCTGCTACAAGAAGGCCAGCAAAATTGACTGTCATCTTCCTAAATTTGAAAATTATAAAGAAAACACGCTATTTTTCTGGATAAAAATCATACCAGACATACGTACAATGGGACAGTTTTCAAAACGTCTGTTATTATCAATTGATGTGGGATCTTAAAAGGTAAGCACAAAACATTCAGTAAAAATTGTAGACTTCAAAGTAGTCTTTGCTGTTTATACAATAAAACAATGCAATCTTGAGTGATTAGACATTAAAAAAAAAACAGATTTCCATTAACTGAAAATCAATTTGATAAAACCATCTCACCTGTACTCCTTGCAAGTCTAATGTGGAAATCGACGCAAGTCAACTGAATCAAATGATGTAATCGTACAAGATCCAACTCGATGACAACGTAACTCATTATATATCTGGTTTCATATACAGGTGGTATGCAAATGATATGCAAATGATATGCAAATCCAAACGTCAAAGGAGACCCAGTTGATACTGCAACGAAGTTGAAGACTTCAAAGAGTGGGTTTCGCCCATCAAAGTATCATCAAAGAGTTTGTTTTCAATAGAACTTTATCTTGTCCTTGTTCACCCACATTTCTAATGTAAAAACACAACGATGGGGTAGTTAATAGTACTCGAGTGAGCAAAATTAAAATATCACCAAAGGGCACAAACGTACTACATAAGATCTTGGTCTAATCCTTAGAACAAATATATCAAAATATGCCAATAGAATAATTGTCTACTTTTACTAAGAATACTACATTTACTGCGATAAGCATAGTATAAAAACAACATTCGTCATCTCGGCTGTAAATCATAAAGTCAAAATTGAAGAATAAATAACATATGGGATCACCTATGGTGAACATATTTGAGGAAAATGCAATTTGAAATAATAATTATAATTATTTTGTTGTTGTTGTTGTAATTAAATCTTTCATTCATATATTTATTTACTTCACTATTTGGTTTTGATGTTTTGGTAATCAGCCTCTGGATACGTTGTTAGTACATGGTACATGTACCTTTATGGACGTGTACAGAAGCAGACGTCAACTTTTGCAACCAGCAGATTGAAGTGATTTGATATTTCCTTTACAAATGGATTAAATAAGGCGGCAATTATAAGGCGGCAATAATCTTGAAATAGTGAACGTAACCCTGTCCTTGTTACAAACGTACACAAAACGAACATTCGAGGAAGCTTGTAAGTGATGGACTTGACATGTAAAAATAAGTAATACTATTCAGCGCGACGCGTAAAGCTGTAACTCACCGCAGCTTAAAACGATTTTATCTTCTAAACATCATAGGTGCCCGCCATAATACGATGACCGAGTTGCTTTCATTGCAAAAAGATTTTTTTCTATTCAGGATAAAAGCAAATGTTGTTGTGTTTCGAATATCGTCATTATTTACCAAAAATAATGAAACCTGAAAAGCATATAACGGACAGACTTTGTGAAGCCTTTATTTAATTTATCTCTGATATTGCTGATTTTTGTATTAAACTCTTATTATTTGTTTAACTTTGCACGAACTAGTTTTGGGTGGTTTCTTCTTTACTATCTAAAATAGTAATATAAATAGAAATATATCTAAACGAATTACCTCTGAATCAACCTGTGGGAAAAGTAACATATCTGCGGAGGTCACGCCCATCTGCTTGTCGCCAAGAGCAGTAGAAGACGATGTTTTTCAACTAAGATCACCAGATATCAGTCAGGTTTCGTACATGCATAGAAATTGACTGATCCAAATATGAATACATGTAGCTTAATGCAGTCCATGCACCTGTTGTAGCTTGAATTCTCTTTCCCAGTTAAACACAGATTGTTTTAGATTTAGATTTCGCATTCAGTATCACCTACCGCATTCTGTGTATACGAAGTGTACATGTATTTAGCTCAAAAGGTGATCTTTAGACGAAGGAAATTCAGAAGTTTGAACGGGCACACGTCCACAGAGGGGGACGTCACACGAGGATAAGTAGTAAATAATGCACTGTCCACGAGCCCGATATCACGATAGCAGGCCGAGCGCCAGCGAGGCATGCTATCGTGGATATCGGGCGAGGGGGTAACAGTGCATTATTTGTCATACATACAAAGGGAAATCGTGCGTGTTCCCCACCCAAAACCCCTAACTTTGAATAGAACACGCTGATATCACCGCGCATGGGGTGATATCAGAGAATGGCCTTTCCCTGCGTTTACTGCCTAATTGCGGTCACCGTCCAATCATCTTCGTTTGCGTTAGTGGTTTTCTGAGTAGTTGACCGATTTCCTGCCCATCTTCCGCACGTGGCAGTCACTCCGTCTCATTCATAGTATCGGTCCCTGCAATCCTTTTGTTTTGATATCAGCCCCGTGGTATGTATAGACAAATAATTCTAATAGCCGTATTTACCCGGTTTATGGGGCTTACGTTGAAACCGGTTTTGTTACATTAACTCATTCCAGGCCCGTAGCCAGGGGGGTTCGGGGGGTTCGAAAGAACCACCCCTTTTGCTGGGAAAAGGTCCACTCTGGGAAAATTTTGATCTAGGTACATGATGTTTTTATGGAAAAAGGTCCACTTTTTCAGAAAAAAAAACCCTTTTGGAACTGCTGGCTACGGGCCTGCATTCCCAGTTGGCTCTACAAGGCCAAAATTGTCTAACTGGGCAAATTAGCCCCGGTTATTTAAGCCAATTAGTCAATTCTGCGGTGGTTGCTCGCTATTTACTGAAAGCAGCTAAGAGGTAATTCAGCCGAACGCACAAGAAAGCTACATTGATTTTATTTGAATTACTTGCCCGTGGATTCCAAATTGTAATCGTCCAGTGTACAGCTGTTGTCAATGTCATAAAATTTACCGTTGGATTGTAAAATCAAACAATTAACCAAATCTCTTAATAATTTTCAGTTTGTCTAATACAAAATACCATTCTGCGCTAAGACTTTTAATTTACCAGTTATAAAAAATACTTTACTTACAACTGTCCACATTGTAGTTAATTGAATTTGAAATAAAATTTGCTGTCTTTGCGATTAATGAAACGATAATCGTAGCTTTTTGCTATACAACATGAAACATTTACAACTTTAGTCATTGACAACGTTTAAAAAAAGTCCTCGAATTCTAGAACTGTCAAATTGCACGAGGTATTAATTTTAAGCCTAGATTACATTTGCCATGCGATGTCCGTATATTACATTTACTTATAATTATATAAATCCCTTTTCTTGCAGCGTCTGAGCGAAGGTAGGCGGTGGCCGTGCGAAATCGTGCGGATTCACGGCAACCCTAGGCTCTCCGACTTTGTCAAACTAAAACTTTCGACAAATTTTGAAATAAGTTGGGGGGCACATTGTCATTATCGTTGTTGGCATTTCGCAGTTCCGTGCGGGCATTGTTCGGTGATCGTGGTAATGTAGCGATCTTCAAGGAAGCAGCTTACGGCAACTGCACTGAGACATAAGGGGCTTCGTGCCCTCACTTTCCCTTTTTCGAAAAACGCTTTTTCCTACTTGATCCCGAGCTGCTAATGTTGCATTATTTATAGCACTGGTGTCCGCACGTAATAGTTAACATATTTACCGAAGCCTGTTGCCACGTACGATGTCAGAAAAAAAACACGGAAAATCGTATACGATTTAATCGTACGTAACCTTTGGAAATGTAATCTAGGCTTTAACATTAACAAACAATAAATCCTTTAAAACATTGTATGCAATCATATCACGCTCTTCTCCTATTATAGTTATTTATGCTAGCACTCAATTTAGTTAAAATCCTGAAATTAGCTACATAACTTGAAATTTACTATACACCAAACGTAAAATAATTCATGACTCAATGCTCAATTTACTTATAATTATATAATCCATATAAATTGGTCAGTTTCTGAAATAGTGAATAACATGCAACCTCGCCTTTTGCAAACTGTCACCCTTTACACCAACAGAACGTCCAATTTTTTATTTATTAAATTGATCAGGGCGGATCCAGGATTATTTGTAGGGGGGATCTGCGGATGCAAAGTCGACCCTACCCCCCTACCTTTGACGTGGGGTTCGGGCTCGCTGAAGGACCCCGAAAATTCTTGGTATTTTAGAGGGCGAACGTTGCCATTTGGTACGGTTTAGAACTATGATTCAGCTTGTCAAAGTTCTAATTTCACGAGGGGACTATCACAGGGGCCACCTTGGTCCGAGTTACTTCTCCAGCAGGCGACACAACAGCTGTGATGTTTTTCCAGAGATCAACTACAAACTGACTGAACTCTACTTTTATTTCTCTGGCTGAGAGATCTGGAGTCTCCTAAGACAACAGGGACAATCCAGTTATCGGTTTCACTGACCACACTTACTCTGAGCTCTGATCTCTGATCTCCGATTAAAATACAAAATTCTTCTCCTTATATACTAATACACACAAAATACATTACAGTGATTCCTAAAACAAGTCAGAGATATTGAAGCCAATAAATAGAATTAAGACATTACTAGAGACCTTTAACATAATTGAACTGAGGCTGAATTAAACTTAAACTAGGAGATGAAGCCATAAATGAAGTTATTCAATCCTTTTAAAACAAAACAAACAAACAAAAAAAATCATCCTTTTAAAACTTGGTTACAGTTCTTTCCAATGAATAAAATGCATTAACAGATTCATGTAATATCATTATAACGGAGACATTTAAATGATCTTTACCAAATGTTGATTTAATTTGATTTAAATGTTGAAGTTTCTAAAATGTAGTTTGGCCGTGAAATCACCACTATGACAGGACCATTGATGTGATTTTTTTCAGGAATTGACAGGGGGGGAGGAAGGACCCCCCTGCCCCCCTAAATCCGCCACTGATTGATGATAATATCAAGTAATCTCTTATCATAATAGATCAATTTACTATGAATGTTACCAGGCATGCATCTCAAGACCTGTGACTGTTTTAACAGTGAATCAAATGAATCAAAAAGAGAATCATTACTAATCCTTTACCCACTACCAGGACCACAGATTGACTTTTCACTAGAAATTCACAGATATGTCTCTGACTAATTCAATATACTTTCCTGCTGGGGCCGTATTTTCGAAAGGTTGTAACTTACAAATTCTTGTAACTTTTCACGTAAGTCCGATCGTTCACGTAAGTTGGTATTCTCGAAGGTTTGTAAGTTACAAACTTTTGAGAATACGGCCCCTGTCCAGCAAGACGTCCCTGCAGGGTCACATTAATTAAATCTCGGGTCAATTCAACCGGTCGAGGGACAACGCGTGGGGAGGCGTGTGAGAGGCGGAGAGACCATTACAGGATTAAGCGGTCTTCCTTTCATGTACATTTAGGTCCGCGATATTTAGGTCTTGCCCTAGCTAGTACTCGGCTCTTCTCATTCTGAATGGCCTCTATCTGAAGACAGAATACTAAACAGTGTGTTGATAAACCAAACTAAAAGGCACTCGGCGAGTGCAAGACTCCGTCAAGACAGCCACCAAAATGTAATCGCTTCCAAGCGGGTCCATTTCTGGCTTATCCTAAAAAGTTCACCAAAATGGGCCCATAACTTTGAGTTAGGCTGTTAACTTGCAAACAAACCAAGGTCAAAAACGGAATCTTGTTAGCGGGGGTCATGACGTCCATATAACTATTTCAGAATAATTTTGCTGAATAGTAAAAATGTAAGTGTTTTTAAAACTTGATTATAATTAAAAACGATAAATTACAAAACAACAATGAAAAACCTTAGATATCCATCTATGGATTGATTAGTCAAAGTAGTGCCCAATCCTATATCATTCTTATGTGATCTAACCCATAGTTAGATATCCCACACCGCTGCCACCAGCGCCATTAACAACCAAACTCTAACATTACCAACAGGTAAACTTCCTCGGCTCTGCCTCGGAGTTGAGAGCGTGGACGCTCCACGAAATGGCGTCACGGAGCTGTGGTTCGTGGGGTTCTTCCTGCAGGCAGAGAAGGATCCTGAGCGTATACCCACTGGCCGTCCGGAATTTTCCAACTGCGCGTTTTGCAGAGCATTTTCCATCCATGCTTGTACTTGGTCGAAAATGTTGCGACCTTCCTCGTAGTCGGCTAGTCCCACTCGAAGAGTGACCATTATTTCAAGGACAAAGGTGATGGACGTGTTGTCTGCGCCGTGTTTCTGACAGATAAGAATACGTGCCTGCGCAGCTCTTACTACAGCTACCAATCGACCATCTCGTACGATATCTCCACAGCCATCCCTGGGCGTTGGAACCCAGCCACACGGTTCAAAATGCAAGGAAACGATCGACCGTACTACAGTGAAATTATACATTAGGGGGCGGCAGTCCTGGGCATCCGGAACAAAACCAGGGGGGCACACTATCTGTTGATCTACAGGCTGGAAAATGACACGTGTGGAGATGTACATTGTATACACTCACACTGGACAATAGAAGGGTAACCCCTTGAATCAGAGTGATCAAAGTTATTAACCTGAAGAGGCTGAATACAAGCAATGTCAGAATATCGATACAGTTGAATTGTTAAGTCAGAACCGTTTCTTTTGTGAAATTTGATGTTAATAAAATGATACCAGAAGCATATCATTCCACAGTCATTTATCTCCCCCAAAGTATTGGTTCAGTAGGGGTGACACTTCTATTGTTCAGTGTGTGTACATGCATGGTTTTACGCCACACGGTTCAGGGCAGCAGTTATAACATCCATAAAGTCGAGAAAAAAATCTGACAATAATTACATCAGAATATTAACATGACAAATGCGGGAAAGAATTAATGAAGTTATAATTTACAATCTGTTATCTAAATGCAATTTTCATCATCGTCCTCATTATTTATGGTTATTGCTGTTCTTTTTCTCACCCTAGTCATGACGTCATCACTCTGTTTCCCGTCTTGGTCTCCCAGGTACAATAGGGCGCGGAAAGAAAGACCGAAACGTCTTTTCGGTGGCGGTGTGAAATTCTGATCTGAATATAACATTTAATTAAGTGAATTAATAAGTGGGCATGTAAGCTTGGCAAAGAAGGACAGCTACGTGTTCTTCAATCGGCCTAGTAGTTGAAGTTCACACAACTAGATTTACTTGCTTTAGAACCGCGTTTAGATTCAAATATGGTACCATCTGAATCGAGCCGGTGCTGGGGGGTATTCGCGCTGATTCAGTGTAATCATCTTGTCTGACACGCCTTGAGTAGCTATTTAATTAGTTAATTACCCCCTAGCAGCTCGAAAAGGATTTTGAGACATTAAAGCTGATTTTTTTAAATCTGCCAATTGTGACCTAAGATATGGTCATATTTACAGGCGCATTTTACGTCAATGTTTTTGCCACAAAACCTAACCAAATGCCAC